GGCCGCGGCGCCGGGGCAGGCTCACCTTCCCTTACTCAGCCCGGGCGTGCGTGTGCCACAGCAATTGGCCAAGGCGGTGTTTATCCTGGTCATGTTTTCAGTCACAGAGAGGCATTTTCAGGCCGTTTTCCTGGAAACGAGACGCCGGGTGGTTCGATAAGGTTTGCACATGTGCTTCACGCGTGTATCGCCAGGAGATCAATGCGGTTGCGCTGGCGCGGAGATTTGTGTCACACCTGTTCTCTGACATCACGCAGAAACAGCTGCTGTCTCTTGCATCGCTTTTCTTTTTGCTTCTTCTCTTTTAAACGCTAAATGTCGGGTTTGTGTGTGGCAACGTGTCAGAGATATATTGTACCATCAGAAATGCTTTCTTCCTTCTCGCTGTGTGTCTCCCTGTACGGCTCCCCCAGCCCTTTCTGCTCTGCCAACAATATCACATTTAAACTACCAAAAAAACCCAATAGGGTCGATCTGTAACAGAATTGTCAGGCAGCACACAAAAAGAGTGTTGTTCTCAGCCTGACAGGTTTTAAAACTTCTTTCTACCAAGAAGTGTACGCATTTTAATATACATTTTTGGATGTGAATCCAATCTTTGCAGCTGGCCCTTACCTCAGAATAATAAAGCCTTTTTAAAAAACTGTGTATACTAACATCTCAGACTTTTGGAAAGTTCAGATTTAGCTCTCAATTTCCATAAAATGTATGTCTTTGTCCTATCTGTAATATAGCTGTAGCTGCAACAGACTCCGTAATCCAAAATATTAAGTGGCCAGTCTCTGAGGAAAATTGCAGCAAAATACTGAGTAGGAGGAAAAATAATCCCCAAATGCAACCTTGTGTGACATGCGCTGTTAACATACACACATATATACACAGACACATACATGTGTGAGAAGTCAATATTCATTGTGCTGGTATAACATATTTCCTTTCACTCTCTTCCCCTCAATGTACTGCCTCTCAACAGAGGAGCAGTTGCTTGTATCAAGAATGGACCACCTCGGGACCCTCTCTTCGATAAGGAGTGTGTCTGCATAAAGTTTTTCAAGGATGTGGATAGGACTTCAGGCAAAAGCTGGTTATCTGTAAGGGACTTGGATTCTGGGCAAGAGAAAACGGGAAGGCCTGTCCTGGCATTTCCCAGCCTGACATTCAAGCAAGAGGAAAAAGGCTCAAACACCCTCCTGTGGTCCTGGATGTACGCATCATCCTACGAGGTTTCTCACACGACCGGCTTCTCCCACACAGCGAGTACTCACATAAAGGTAGAACGTCCTCTTCTGGTAGGAGAGAAGACTTGTTAGCTTCCTTTATTCCCATCTAATCGTCCTGATTATCACAAAAAGGAGGGTCCGTTTCTGGAAAATCACACTTTTACAAAGGTCCCCCTCTTTCACATCTCAGATGTCAGATTTAAGGACTTTTCTGAGCACCATTGCATTCTAGTGTTCTATAAGCTTTCCCTTTCTTCTTTTTTAATTCAGTATTGGGCAATGCTAGCCTTAAACAGCCTTTTCTGTAGAACTTTCTCATGCTGTTTCTCAGTGTAAAGTAGCATAAAAATTTAGAATACAAAGGTTAGTGTCTTGACTTGGCCAAGACTGTTCTATGAAAAACAAGCAAGCCAATTCCTGGTAAGAACAAGCCCCAAAATACATTAACTGAATTCTAATATTAGGTAGTAGATACGTGCGCTACTACATTGGAATTGTTCCTACACAGCAGTGAGACTGCTAAATGTAGAACTTGTATTTGTGAGTGTTGTGCTAATTAGGTGAATACAGTTCGATTGAACAGCTATTTTCTCTTTAAGCTGACCTAGAAGTTGTTGTCTATTTTCAGGCAGCAGGCAATGGATTGAATTAAGAGGTAGTAGGGATCTTACCTAATAAATACCACTGGTAAAAATGATGAAGGGAATACAAGTTTGACCACCAGTAGGCACTTAGCAAGTCACATCCAAAAAGCTGTCATCCCTTTTGACCAAGATGGCCAGACACATGTACGCTACCTGAAACTCCTCCCTATGGTTCAGTGAAAAGAAGGAACTGATCATCGTCAAGCAGTCCTCTTGTAGGTGAGCAATTTGCAGTTTTAATAGTTCACCCCATGACAGATGCTCAGATTGTCTGGAGGGCACCCTAAAGGTTTAGCCTGATTCATTGTGGTTCACATGAAGAAAAGGGGGACAGTGTGACTGTGAGTACTCTGATCTGAAATGTGGAAAGACACTTCTCTACATGATTTCAGAGAACAGAAAACAACTAGCAATGCGCACAGACCATGGAACTTCAAGGGCAGAAAAGATCTCCCCCCTTATTGGGACTGCAGTGTTGTCAATAGCACCAGGAATTCTGACATAGATTCTAAATGAAATTCCAAAAACTTAAAACTTAAAAAAAATAGTTAGAAAATGTAGTTATTGCTGGACACCTTCTCTAAACAGCCCTTTAGGATGCTACAGTTTTATAGGAACACCTAGATGCTAGAAAAGCAGCACCACCACCTCTAGGCAACCCATTTCCATGCAAAGGCTGAAGAAGCGGTGTAGTAGGAGGGAACATGGAAAGAGCAAAGCTGTCAGATAGAACAGCTGCTGGAAGGCCTTTTCAGCTTGGGCAGCATTAAGCTAACTGTTGGCTGTCTTAAGTCGTGTGCTAAGCGCAGAATGGCTCTTGCCCAGCTTCCTGACTGGCAAATTGCCTGTTCTACTTCGACAACTCTGCCAAGTGGAGCTGTGTCATACTGGGTGATAAAACTTCAAATTTTTAAGTTAAAATTATAGATGAGGAGCACGGTGCTTTAGGAACAGAGGGGTTATATGTGGTTATTGTACTTTTAAGGTCTGGAACATTTTGTGTGGCAGACTTCAAAAAACATGTCAGTTGGCAATCAGTTGCAGCTGGAATGGGACTGGAGACTAAACCCAAGATTAAACTGAGGACGGACATAGTTTGTAAATAACTACTGTGAAAATTAAATTAATTTTTGCCATTACTTTATTTTTCTTCTTGTTAGTTTGATTCTATTAAAGTTAACATGGACGGCGTATCTGATTCATTGGATATGTGGAGTCACAACATTTTCTAATCCAAAAAAGGCTTTGTTTGAATGTAGATCCTGGCTTGGAGCTTAAATGGAATAAAAATCACTGTTAAGAGTGATACCCATAGCCAGCTGTGACAAGCTGAATATAGCATGGTAAAAAGGGTAACAAATGGACAATTTCCAGCACAGTGCATGTATCTAGTGACGTACTGGATGTTGTTTCTAGACTGATAGAGTAGGAGCTTGAGTACGTCAATGTTACAGGCTTGTTAGGGACAGATCATTAACTTCTTATTGCAAGGTTTGTATTTACTTTATTGCCCATCAGGGAAGAGGATCAGTTTTAATGGTTTACTTTCAGCGATTAATGGAACCAAATGGATTTTAGACTGCTGTTTAGGCAGTGACAGCTTATTGGGACATCATGAGAATTGTCCTATGTGGTACACGTTGGTAAACTTCAATGTAATCTTGGTGCCCAAGCTATCCTGAAGGCATTGGAATAGGCTGCCCAGGGAAGTGGTGGAGTCACCATCCCTGGAGGTGCTTAAAAAATGTGTAGATATGGCACTTGAGGACATGGTTTAGCAGGCATGGTGGTGTTGGGTTGATGTTGGACTTGATGATCTTAGAGGTCTTTTCCAACCTTACTGATTCTATGATTTAAGTTCAGGAAGTGTGGGCTGGATGAGTGGACCATGAGGTGGATTGAGAACTCGCTGAATGGCAGAACTCAGAGGGCTGTCATCAGCGGCGCTGGGTCTAGTTGGAGGCTGGTAACTAGTGGTGTCCCCCAGGGGTCAGTACTGGGCCCAGTCTTGTTCAACTTCATCAATGACCAGGATGAAGAGTTAGAGTGTACCCTCAGCAAGTTTGCTGATGACACCAAACTGGGAGGATTGGTAGATACACCGGCAGCCTGTGCTGCCATTCAGTGAGACCTGGACAGGCTGGAGAGCTGGGTGCAAAGGAACCTGATGAAGTTCAACAAAGGCAAA